AAAAGTAGTTGTGAGTTAAGCAAAGAAAGGAAAAAAGAAATCATTGCAAGAAAGCTCTACCCACTACCTACCAGAGAGTAAAGTGACATGGAGATACAGAGCAAAATTACAGTAACTTGTAGTACTCAAAGCAATAGACAAGGGCCGGGGATATGGTCAGCAACAGAATCTTCTGCCTGGCAAGCACTAAGTCCCAAGTTCAATCCCCAGTACAGAGAAACGAAAATAAAAACAACAAAGATTAAAGAAATAGACAGGGAGCTGGCGAGATGGCTCAGTAGAATAAGTGCTTGCCTGGCAAGTACAAGGGCCTGAGTTCAATCCCCGGTTCCTCAAAAAAAAAAAAAGACCAAGTTAAAGAAATAGACAAATTTTGTGTTCAATTTTTTTTTTTTTTTTTTTTTTTTTGCTACATGGAATTTCTAATACAGAAAACCAGTTTTCTACAATATTTTTTAAAAAATACTCAAAGAATCTGCTAATGAAACAAAAAGATTTGTATTCTAATAAGCTGGTAACTGCAAAAGAAATGGACAGATTCTTAGATGTATATGAATAAACAAAGTTGAATCAAGAAGACAGAAAAATCCTGAATACACCAGTATCAATCAATGAACTCAGAGTTCATTAAAACTTAAAAACCTGGGGCCAAGGAGATGGCTCAGTGGAATAAGCGCTTGCCTGGCAGGCGCAAAGGCCTGAGTTCAATCCCCGGTTCTGCCAAAAAATTAAATAAATAAATAAATAAATAAAATAAGAATTGTTTTCCAAGGCCAACATAGCATGTAGTACAGGGGATCAAACCTGGGTCTTTGTGCCTGCCAGGCAGGTGCTTAGATTGCTGAGCTATCTCTGCAGCCCATCAAATTAATATTTAACCTAAAAATGAATTTTATAAAGAAACATCATCGATCTTGAATTCTTTTTGTTGAGGATAAAGTTTCCCATGATAGCACTGTTAGTGCACTTGGAGTTTTTAATCTGTGAGTGTAAACCCAAGGACAGAAAAAAGTAAGGAAACTGCAAACAGAGACATCTTATATGCCTGCTAGGCAACAGCATGAGCCACCTTTCCCAGGCAGTCTGACTACAAAGGGCCGTGGAAGCCGAGCAGATTGTTGCCTTCACCAAAAGAGCCTCACCGACCCACACAGAGCTCCCCGGAGAACTCAGCCCTTATTTTATATCATTAGTTGTTGTAGGGCAGACTGAGGTTGCTTTCAATTTAAAAATGACCTTAGATCACAAGCAGAGGTTTTTAATTTGTTTACACCATTAAGCATCCTGAAGTGTGATTAATAAATCTTCTGAATAAAGAAATAAGTCCATCTTTTAAACAAAAAAAAAAAAAAAAAAAAAAAAAAAAAAAAAAAAAAAAAAAAGAAAGAAAGTAAAAAAACAAAAAAAAACCTTAAAAACCTACCAATAAAGAAAAACCTAGGCCCTGCCCTGATTCACTGTTGAATTCTATAAGAAATTTCTAGAAGACCTAATACCACTATTTCTCAAACTCTTTAATGAAATGGAAAGGGAAGCAGTACTCCCAAATTCATTCTTGATGCAAGCATTACCTGATATCCGATCTAGAAAAAGACACAACTAAAAAATACAACTATAGGCAAATCTTCCTAGTGAACATAGATGTGAAGATCCTCAATAAATTACTGTGAAACAGTGTGCCGCCAATCATCAAAAAGATTATACATCATGACCAAGTTGGATTCATCCCAGGGATTCAGGGATGGTTCATCATACACAAATCAATAAATGTAATAAATCATATCAGCAGAGACAAGGGCAAAAATAAGATGATCTTTTTTTGTTTTGTTTTGTATTCTTTTTCTTTCTTTCTTTCTTTCTTTCTTTTTTTTTTTTTTGGCTAAGGGTTAAAATTGGTCACATGTGTAGGGGTGAGGCCAAGCCCCTGGGAGAACAATGAGCACTTGAGGCAATCAAGCTACTTTGATTCAGAGAAACACTTTGTCCAAGACAATTCCAGCCATTAGATGATAGGCAGGCCTATCTCACTTGATACTAACTTTGTGCTTGCCAGGCGGCCACTTAAGTCACTGAGCTATCTTGCAGCCAATGATCTTAATAGATGCAGAAAAAGCTTTCACAAAATGCAGTACCCACCTCTGATAAAAAAATAAATAAATAAAAAACCTTCAGAAAATCAAAATAGATGGATATTATCTCAACCTGATAAAAGCCATTTATGACAAACCAGAATCCAACATCATTCTAAGTAGACAGAAACTGAAGTTTCATGCTAAAATAAGGAATAAGACAAGGAAGTCCACTGTCACCACTCCTGTCACCACTCTCATTTAACATAGTTCTGGAAACTTTAGCCAGATCAATCAGATGAGAAAAAGAAATAAAAGGAATAAAGAGAGGAAAAGAAAAATTTAATTCATCATTATTCACCTATGACATGATACTCTACATAGAAGATCCTAAAAGCTTCATCAGAAGACTTCTAGATTTAAAACACCAATTTAATAGCACAGCTGGGTGTCTCTAACACCTTTTCTCTGGCTCCTTTTCTCCTTGCTTTCCAGTTACCATAAAATGAGCACTTCCATGCCTGTCCACCATGATGTTCTTCCTCCTTGGTGGCCCACTGTGCTGGAGCCAGCTGATTACAGCCTGAAGCCTCTAAAACTGAGATGTGATTTTCTCAAGTATTCTTCCCTTGAGAGGTGATTTTTCTCAAGATTTAGGTCACAGCAACAAAAAACTGTAGGGAGTGACTGGTGGTGGACATTGGTCACATGTGTAGTGGTGAGACAAGGCCCCTGGGAGAACAAAGAGTACCTGAGGCAATCAAGCTACTTTAATCTAGAGAAACACTCTGGAATAGCCCAAGACAACTGCAGCCATTAGCTGGTAGGAATGCCTATCTCATTTGATACTAACTTTGTCAAATGTATAAATAAACTCCCCTACTGTGGTTGAGTAGTCTTCCCTCCCATCCAGAAAGAGGGCTCCACTCAACCTCACCTTTTGTCTCATATTTTTCCCATCCTCTCCCAGGCCTTCTTTCCAGGAACATCAAGAGGGAAAATAGAAAGCAGCAAAAGCGATCTACTTAGGGCTGGGGAGATGGCTCAGTAGAATAAGCGTTTGCCTGGCAAGCAGAAGGGCCTGAGTTCAATCCCCGGTTCCACCAAAAAAAAAAAAAAAAAAGATCTACTTTGTTATTCTTACTGACTGCTTTGCTTAGTTATGTCACTAGTAACTCCAAATGAATTAAAACTCAGCCCATTAATTTCTAAAAATTTATCTGGAATTTGGAGGGGGTCACACTGAATATATAGATCACCGCTATCTAATCTTAAGTCTTTGATCCATGATCATGGGAGGATTTCCCCTTCACTAGGATTTTCTTTAATTTCTCTTGAATTGTTTCACAATTTTCAAGGCAAAATTTTGCAACTCTTCAGATAAGGTTAGCCTTAAGTATTTTATTCTTTTGATGATCCTACAAAAATTTTCTTAATTTCATTTTCATACTGTTTTCTCGTGTGTTGTGTACACTGTATATTGTTTTATGTATTGATTCTGTATTCTACAACTGTACTGAGCATCTTCTTGAGATTTAGATGTAGAATATGTAAGACATGGTAGTAAATACACAAAAAGTCAAATAATTAAGACTGGAAAATTCAGAACTGGGGGGCTGGGGAGATGGCTCAATAGAATAAGCACTTCCCTGGCAAGCGCAAGGGCCTGAGTTCAATCCCCAGTTCTGCTAAAAAAGAAAAAAAGAAGAAAATTCAGAAATGTGTAGTCAGGAATAAAAATGAGAAATCAAGCTATGAAAAGACATTCAGGGGGCCAGGGAGATGGCTCAGTGGATAAGCGCTTCCTTGGCAAGCACAAGGGCCTGAGTTCAATCCCCGATACATTAAAAAAAAAAAAAAAAAAAAAAAAAAGGTATTTAGAAAAGACATTCAGGAATTTTAAAAGCGTATAATTATGTGAAAGAAGCCAGTCAGGGGGGCTGCACACTATGTGATTGTAACTATATGATAGTCTTCTCAAGATAAAATTATGGAAACAGAAAAAAGCTTGGTGATAGCCAGGGTTCAGGTGGTAGATGAAGAGAAAAGATGAAGAGATGCACCACAGATTGTTAGGACAATAGAACTGCCCATGTTAACAGTGGATATTTGATATACATTTTTGAATATAAACAATAATGTAACACATGAACCCTGATGTAAACAACAGACATTAGTTAATAACATATCAATATCAATTCCACAATTCGAGCAAATGTACCAGAGAGAGCAAAAACACTAGAAACAGAGAAACATGGCAGGGCAGAGACATATGAAAACACTCTATACTTCTGCTCATCTTTTTTTCAAACCATAGTTTTCTAAAGTGTCCCAAGTTTTTACACAAAATGATTTCCAGAAAAAAAAAAAAAAAGAGCAAAGATACTGAATAGACTTTTCTCCAAAGAAGAGATATAATTAGCCAATAAACACAGGAAAAGATGCTTGTAATCACTATCCGTAGGAAAATACAAAAGCAAAACCAAAGGAAGATGACACATTATAATACCAGGAAACAGAGTAAAAATTCCAGTATCAAAATTTGAAACCTTTACATATTTCCGGTAAGAATGTAAGTAGCTATAGCTACCATCTGGCATCTCCACTAACAATGCCTAGATGACCCAGCAATCCCATGCTGACATAAATACCCAAGGAAATGAAAAAGTATGTTCATATAGAAGCTGGTATATGTTTACAGCATTATCAAGAAATAAACAAAATATAGTACATCCGTGTAATAAAATATAACATCAGAAAAATAAATACTTAAAAAATAAATCATCTTAAAAATATTATGGCAAGCTAAAAATTGAGGCATACAAACACATACCAGGATGAAGGCACAAAACCAGAAAAAGAAAGTTCCAAGGAAAATTAATATCACGATTACCTTTAGCTTCTGAACACACAGCCAGAAATCCATCCTCTGTCAAGGCTCTGAACATAGGTCTCACTCCATACGTGTCTCTGCCCAAGAATACTTTCCTGTTGGCAGTGTCCAGTAAAATGAAGGCAAACACCCCATCTAGCATGCGAGCGGTCTGCTCAATGCCTCCTCTGTTGTACAGATGAAGAAGTATCTCTCCATCCACATTGGTCTGGTATTCAAATTCAAAGTATTGTTGCAGCTTGAGGAAGCAGAGCAAAGCCAAGTGTTAGCTCCTTGTGCATTAACCAGTTAACATTCCACTGCAAAGTTATTTACTTCAGTAATGGACATATTGCCCTTAGTGTACTTCAAAAGGCTCCGTTGCATGCTCACACTTCAAGCCCCACTGTTGCTGCCCATTACAATTGCTCAATCTATATGATGATTGCTGGCTTTTTTTCAGAATTGTTTTTTAAACTCAGATTTGGGAGAGAAGGCTGATCAACAAAAACTAGCTTGCAAAAGGTAAGATTAAAACCTTGTTATGGAACACTACACAAATAATCCTGGATTGGAAGTTTCTTATCAAATTTGGCTTCTTGGGATCAAAGTTTCCATCCCTTCACCTGCTCTCATCTTCAAAGCCGCTTCAGTAGATTAGGCAGTTACTTCAGTGCTGCTAAAAGCCTAATATATTTCACTGCCGCCCATTCGCCTTCTACATTTGGGTTTCAGTGAAGTACAAAACTTATTCAGCAGCCTCTCTCAATGGCATTCTATAGAAGTACTGTGAATAGGATCATCTCCAAACAATTCAATCCTATCCCTCTCTTCTACTCAGGATTGCTTCACCCTCCCAGTGATAGTCCACCTTCCTTCCTATCCAGGCTCCTCCTTCCCGGTCCATGTTGTCTCCCTTCCCCAGTGCCTCTCACTCCCTACAACCCCAAGGATGCTTTCTTCCCACCAGGGGCTTCTACATCTGCCACTCCCCCTGCAGCCAAAGCTCTTCCCAACCTGGCTAGGTGATCTTTGCCCATTAGCTCTCAGTTCGGGGTTCACGTCCTCAAAAGCTGGGCTCTGAGCACACTTGCTAAAAGTGGGCCCTCCGGGTCATCAGTTCTGTACTTGTTCCTTCAGGAAGTCTGCTACACCTGCAGTGATGTTGTCTGCTCCCTGCCACAGTGAGCTCCCTTCAGTGGCACACCTACCCCTCCCGCTGCAGCCTCAAACACAGAACTACAACAACCCTAATTAATGCGAGATCCTGTATCAAATAAATAAATAAATAATTTTAAATGTAATAAAAAGAATGTAAATTATAACCGCACTTCTATTGCGTGGGTGGCCAAGTCACTTTCCTGCTCTGTGCACCAGTGGCCTGCACAGCTATGACTGGAATAAATGGATCAGGAACACAGAAGGAGGATCTTTTAAAAAATCACACAAGATTTAAAAGTGATTACAACCGGTCAGCTCTGAGTTTTAATCCTAAGCAGGCATCTTCAGGGTTCCTTTTCCTTACCGCCCTGTGGTTGTAGATTTCGCCATTGTAACAGAGCCACAAAGAAGGGTATTTCCTCAGTCGAATTGGCTGCATTCCGAACAGAGGATCCACCACTGCCAGGCGGTGGAAGCCAAAGCAGCAGTTGGTGTAGCCGTTGACATTCTCAAACCGGAATGCATCTGGACCCCTGTGGGCAATCTTCATAGCACTCAGGCACTGCGCTGAGAGGCAGTGGTCGCTGCCAAAGAGGGCCCAAATGCCACACATGGTGCCACCGAGTTCCGGGCTCTAGGAAGACAAAAGCAGACCAGTCTGTACTCAATGTCCAGTGGAAGCCAGAAGTAAACCTCTATTCCAAACCTTGTGTAACATACTTCAGAATCTGAGACAAAAAAATCTTCCTATCTTTAGCATAAGTTTTCCATTAGGTTGCCAGGCACAGGGGAGGAGATGATGTCATTTACTTACAAGGATTCAGAATAAGATGGATGACCTTTACATTGAAAGAACTGCGTCACTTAGAACCTGGCCAAAAGCTGCACCTTTCCCACCTTAGGATCTGTGGTCAGCTGGAGGCCGGGCATCCAGGCCACACAGTGTCTGCATTGGAGTGCACTAAGACCCCAGGGCCAGCGCCTCTGAGCTAACGAAGACCCCAGGCTCAACTCCTCCCACCCAGACCTCAGAACCTCTCAACACTCTGAGAAGCTCCCCAGATGTGTATAATCTCCTTGACCATTGTGTGTCCTCTATTTACTTTCTGAACTCCACATTGCACACGGAGGGTGTAATAGAAGATCACACGAACCACTGAGGGTAATACTAAGTTCTACCGGTCTTCTAAGCATTTCAAACCTTCTTGCCTTCCTTTAGCTGATTTACTCAAATGTAATGTACAAAAAAAAAAAAAAAAAGAGAGAGAGAGAGAGAGAGAGAAGAAATAATCTCTTATAAGATGTCCTAACAAGAGGAGAAAAGCTTTAAGTAGGCAGAGGGCCTCAAATAGTCACTATCAAAGTATCCTTAATAAAACTTTTCTTAAATATTTCTGTCTGCATTCATCAGTAAAAAGCAAACTAAATTAGTTATAAAATACTATGAAAGAAACAATTATAAAATTTAGTACATACCTATAGGTCAGCAGACAAATAATTTCTACAAAACTAAGTTCAATTTAATTTCAAGTTAACAGTGAAACAAAAGGCTATTTGATTTGCATATTGTGAGCTCAAATAGTTATTTTTAAAACATCTACAACTTGGATAAACCTACTTTTCTCTTTCTTAAAAATGAAAATCAGTAACAAGGGCCCACACAATTTGGGACAGATCCACCCAAAGAAAAATTATAGACTCAAGTATTATCCATCATTCTGAACAAGCCTTTGAGGACATTTTACTTATGACTACATGAACTACAGCTCTGGCTGGCATTTGAGCAGGGCCACAGGAAAACAATGAAAATGGTATCCACTGGGCAATGTGGAAAGGAAGCGCCTCCCGTCCTTGGTAGTCCCTTGCAGGACTGAACAGCCTATCATGAAAGATTTATTTTGAGACTTTGAGGAAAACTGATTGAGATTTTAGAGTTGATACTGTTTTAAAGGGTGTGGGAAAGTGCTTTCAGAATAAGTGCACAGCAGTTACCTAAGTCTTCTCAGCCCTAAATTCCTGTATTTTGGCCCATAAAGGAAACATACTAGCTACTCAAGTGAAAACAAAAGAAGTGGGGGACGGGGGAAGGAAGGAAAACAAGAATTTGTGAAACACATTTAAATCTTTGGCACAAAAAGTCAAGTTAAAGGGCAGGCCAAATAGCTCAGCGGATTAAAGCACCTGCAAGCAGGAGCAGGGACACAGGAGTTCAATCCCCAGGCCTGCTAGGCTGCCAGGCCAGGTCCCAGCCCCCAGGGCATGCTGAGACAACAATTGAGACTGGGCACTGGGCGTGGTGGCATGTACCTGAAATCCCAGCTCTTGGGAGGCTGTAAACAGGTGGATCACTATGAGTCCAATCTAGTAGTGAGACCCTGAACACCCTGTAGACCCTTCTCTAAAATACAAAAAAAGGTCGAATTAAAACTATAGCTCACTATTGTTAGGGCAGTCAACTTACAGCCCTACAGAGCTTTTTTGTTTTACTGCTGTTGCCTGTTCCCAGTAATTTTCCGTATTACTTCTACAATTCAACAGTAATGCTGCCCAATCCAAATGTGAATTGCCCATGTAATTTTAAATATACTAGCAACTCTTTAAATATATTTAAAAAGGAGAAAATAACTTCAGGTATATTTTAATATGCAAAAAAAACCCATCATTTCCAATGAGATCTTCTACACTGCTTTTTCTACTACATTGTCAGAAAACTTTGGTGTATTTCCGATTTTCAGAACATCTCAAGGCAGACTGGTCTGTCGTATCAACTGTTCAAGCAGCAACCCAATATGTCAGAGCCACCTTAGAGCATTTCGTTTGGGCCCTGCACTTAAACTTCGCGACATCATCGTATTTTTAAATTAAAGGGGGCAGGGAGATGACTCAGTAGAATAAGCGCTTTTCTGGCAAGCTCAAGGGCCTGAATTCAATCTCCGGTTCCGCCAAAAATAAATAAATTAATTAATTAAATTAAGACCTCACTAAACGAGCTAAGGATGGTGGTACATGACTGTCATCCAGCAATTGTGAGGCTGAGGCCAGAGGGTCCTTGGGTTACACAGTGAATTGAAGGCCTGCACGAACTCTATACATAACAAAGTCCTCAAGGGGGGGGGGGTAAGAAAAAGAAAACAACAAAAGAAGTCAGTAACTAATAACCAACTGCGACAGGTATAAGAAGTACCACTTCTAATTAATCGTACAGTAATTCGATCAGTGAAAAGTGTCGTCAGTCTTCTGTCATCAATCCCTCCCCCCCAAGCCTCCTCCATGGCAAAGAACTTGGAATGAATATCGTCCTCCACCGCAGGAGGAAAAGGAAGCCCGCCCCTTGGCTATAACAGTAACGTGGCTCGGAAGCCCGCAGATGTTGCCGAAGAAGCCTGCACTCGCCTGTTTCTAAGCTGCCTTTCTCCAGAGCACGCCTCCTCTCCGCAGGGTCCCACAAGGATTCCGGGAGTCTGCGGACAGAAGGAGGCAGAGAGAGGGAGAGGAAGGGAAGGTGAGGAGGCCCGGCTGGACCGCAGCACAGACAGCGAGGCGCGGACAGCGACCCCTGGGAGCCCCACCCAACCCGGCCGACCTAACCGCACCCGGCCACGTGCAAGTGAAAAATAGTGCCGTTCCACCAGGGCCACATGTAGGCAGCCACGGCTTCCTCTCGGCTCCCCGAACCTGGGACACCCGGCACAAGTCCTCCGGCTCGCCCGCCCGCTCGCTCCCTGATGCTCAGCGATCGCCAGGAGCACTCTGTACCCGGGAGGAGCCACAGCACACGCCCGGCGCCCGGCACCGCGTCCGCCC